GACGCCTTAGCTTATTAGGCTGAGGCGCATTACTAATCTATAATAAGATATTTAAAACAGAGTAAATAAATAAGTAAATAAATAAAGCGGAATTAGATATCATGGTTCAGCTTTATTTATTCATCTATTATTTAATAAGGTGTAGCCTCCCCTTAATTAGGTAATCCCCAAACAAATGAAAATCAATTGTGCACAACCAGGGCTGTGGGCACCACAAACGAAAACACGACAGACTGTACACGCGCGGCAACAGCCGTGACACGCGCACACTCGCTGATGCTGGTTGTTGGCTGCTGGCTGATAGCTGCATAGCGTAGCCCATTTAGGCAATATAACTGGCTGCAGCTGCTGGCTGGTTAGATAACGCTAGCTACCATCCACAAAACCCAGCGACGACAATAAAACCGGCCGGTCACCACCAACTGTCCACCAACTGGATCAACATCTGCCAACCTCTTCCAACCAAACATATCTCCAACGGACAACTTCCACCATGACAACCATATTTCTCGACCCGATCCTCCATATCTTTGGACTCCCTTATTTTCCTGCTTTGAACTAGTCCTTCCGTTTGCAACGAATGTCGTGGTTTGAGCAAGGATGTCTCCCTTTTCATCTTTCTTTTGTGCACGGTAGTTTGAAAGCAGAAGGGTGATGAGAGGAAAGGAAAAAGCCGCGGTGGCAGCAATCCCAGAGGTGAAGAGCCGCAGCGGCGGCAGGGGAGGGAAATGCACCGCAAGAACAGCAATTTGCTGTAGCGATGAGAGTACAGGAAAAAGGCCGCGGTGGCAGCAATGCCAGAGGTGAAACGCCGCAGCGGCGGCAGGAAAGGGAAATGCACCGCAAAAAGGTCACGGTGGCAGCAAGCCCAGAGGAGAAGAGCCGCAGCGGCGGCCAGGGAGGGAAATGCACCGCAAAAAGGTCGCGGTGGCAGCAAGCCAGAGGAGAAGAGCCGCAGCGGCGGCCGGGGAGGGAAATGCACCGCAAAAAGGTCGCGGTGGCAGCAAGCCCAGAGGAGAAGAGCCACAGCGGCGGCCGGGGAAGGAAATGCACCGCAAAAAGGTCGCGGTGGCAGCAAGCCCATAGGAGAAGAGCCACAGCGGCGGCCGGGGAGGGAAATGCACCGCAAAAAGGTCGCGGTGGCAGCAAGCCCAGAGGAGAAGAGCCACAGCGGCGGCCGGGGAGGGAAATGCACCGCAAAAAGGTCGCGGTGGCAGGAAGCCAGAGGAGAAGAGCCGCAGCGGCGGCCGGGGAGGGAAATGCACCGCAAAAAGGTCGCGGTGGCAGCAAGCCAGAGGAGAAGAGCCGCAGCGGCGGCAGGGGAGGGAAATGCACCGCAAGAACAGCAATTTGCTGTAGCGATGAGAGTACAGGAAAAAGGCCGCGGTGGCAGCAATGCCAGAGGTGAAACGCCGCAGCGGCGGCAGGAAAGGGAAATGCACCGCAAAAAGGTCACGGTGGCAGCAAGCCCAGAGGAGAAGAGCCGCAGCGGCGG